ACAGATAAATTAGAATATTTATCTTGATTATTTTAAAGAGAAAGTTATTTCAAAAATTTTATTCGCTAGAAACCTTCCCAGTACTATACTAAATAACTTCCCAAAGTTTCATGGCGTTCCAATGAGTGGTTTGGTCAGGCATAAAGGACAAACAGACACACACACACAGATACATTCATTTTTATATATATAGATATAAAGTTGCGACAGCATGTTCTGTTCACTACTATGTGCATTTGTTATAGATTTTGTGTGGAATATTATTTTTCGAATATTAAAATTTTGAAAAGTATTTGAAAACATGGATAGAAAGTCTTTCAAATATTTACCAATTAACATATGTAAATGAATGTAATTCTACTGTCCTATAAGCTTATGTCCATAGTTTTCTTGAAAACCATTTCTGAGATTCCACCCTTCAGTGCTGCGTATATAAGCAGAATCGTCCAATACAGTATTAGAGCTCTGAGAAGCGGTCTGGTAGATTAAATTGGCGAAACCACTGGGAGGGTTCACCACTGATGAGCCAAGCCCCCCTAATATATTTTTTCATCGCAGTAAGGGCAGTAGAAGTTTGTATTATGTATAAAAGACAATTCGTGCTTTTAAATCCTTTCATTTTATATACATAGATGGCGCGCTATTGCTTTGTGTTAATATGTGTAAATGTATATTAAATTCAAAATATAATGTAAAAAAAATCCTTACTAATAAAAATTTTAAAAAAGTTTGGTCTTAAATATGATTTAAGAGAGGATTTAAATGTCTCCCACGTGGTCTAGTGGCTAGGATATCTGGCTTTCACCCAGAAGGCCCGGGTTCGATTCCCGGCGTGGGAACTTTTTTTTTTTATTACTTCTATTTTTTTTTTTTATTGGCGAGATTTTCGAAATATAAAAAATTTGTTATAAAATTAAATCTTCCATACGACACCGTTATAAAAAATAAAGTTACTTTTCGTGGTGGTGGTCGTTCAACGAAGGTCTTATACACGGCATTGTTGATTTTATGAAAATGGTGATACCATCTATGAGTGTCATAGTTGCAACCACGGGATAAGAAAATTAGTGCAGTCTTATTTGCATAATCCGTTTTTCCTGCATACGTCTCCACCATATCTGCCCTATATACATACGCGGATTAAACTTGATTTCAACATATAAAATTAGGCTTTGAAAATAGAGCAATCCATAAATAAATCTTTAAATAAAAAGGCATATATTGGAACAAAATATCATTTATTTTACCAATATTTCAGTTGGGGCTGAACGCCAACCTTTATCAAGGTATTATAATATTTTAAAATAAAATTAGGTCTGGATGGAGTTTCATGCTTGGGATATGCAAATTATCTGAGATCAATTATAAACAACTTACTTCGACTCACTCAAATGATATTCTTCACTAGACAAATTTACCCGGCTTCGCCCGAGCTATGTGGAACAAAGTCCGAAATCTAATTTGCATATACAATTTGTTTCACATAGCTCGGGCGAAGCCGGGTGAAGACTATCCATAATTACTTATTTTTTTCATTTCAGTGAGTCAAATAATTTTATCGGTTTGTACATAGAGACCGTTATATAACCCGTTATATGTTTATAATCAATTTGAGTGAAGAGAAATTGAAATATAAAACCTAAACGATCCTTGTGACACGGTATGTCATCTGACCTCCGTCCGTTACTATGACAACACGACACCGGTCATCCTAACGACAGAAATGTAGGACAGACCCGTACTATGGCAGATTTAGAACAAACACCGGATACATTCCTGCCATAGAGAATCCTATGAATATAACAATCTTATTTGTGAAGATACACTCTTGTGATATATACAGCTTGCACCACCCTGATGAGGGCCAACAGCCCGAAACGCGTCCGTGGTTAGCTTATCTTGATTAATCAAGAATGGGTATTTGGCCAATTCTGGAATAATTAACGAGAATAGTTGATATTTATTCCGATGTACAGTTTAGGATTAAAGTTAGAATTCATGTTTCAAAGAGAGAAACAATTGACATATTTACATATTGTCAATACAGGACACAGTTCGCCGCACTATTTATGAGAAATTGACAATAATGACAAAATTCAAAGAGTGAGAGATTTTTGAGATTTAAAAATATTTTATTGACATCATACACAAGTCATGGGTAGCATAGGTATATAAAAAAGGGAGATAATTAAATATATATATTAAAAATATAAAATAAAAGATAGACTATATACAGTTAGGTAAAGTCCAGGAGACTTTCCCAAAAACAAAGAGTCTTCCTCTCCAGACTAAGAAAGAAAGAGAACGAATTAATTTTTCTTCCATCTTCTTTTAGCATCCATATTCTCTGTTGAAGAACAGAGATGCAATTCAACAATGTTATAGAATATGGAATAGAGATGGTTTTTTTTTAGAGTCTAAAATGATTATTTGAAGCGGTCTCAGAGTATGGATTTTCATTAATGTACAAACTGGTACAGACTTCCTTCATCATTAACCGTGTTCTTGATAGGTCTTCCTAGCCTAAGAATAATGAATTCATTTCAACAAATAAACCACAACACCAACAGCTAAGAAGATCAAAGAAATCCGTTGTTTTGATACATTAAATCACACTTGAGAATATTGATTGAAAGAGAGAAATGTATTTTTGTTGTTAGAAAGAGGTTCAAAAGTAAAGAGTATCAGGGTATCCCTATTGTAAACCTTTGTATTACACATTGTTATGGCGCCAGGTCTGGTGGTTAGTCATCTTTTATTTCCCCCTAACACATGTTCTCCTCAAATATTTCCAGATTCAGTCATTCTACAAGGTTAGATAACACATATTTATAACTTTAGTTCTCACATCATACACTGGGTTTGAAGAGATGTGTAGTCACTGTTGCATTTCACAACATATCAGGCATACAAAGGTAGGACTTTGCCTGTTAACATTTAGCTGGGCTTAGTATGACAACCTTCGTGTCTAGGCTGGCCCTAACAGGGGAACAAGACTCCAGACATAATGTCCTACCCAGGGTCATCTTTCCGCCTCGCTGAGGTAATTAACAGAAGTCGGGAAGGTACCTGTAAAATAAATTATGTATGGCAATGAATAAGCAAAGAAACATGCTGTAACAGACAAATATAGAAGGTTTTGAATATTTGAATGTAATTCTACTGTCCTATAAGCTTATGTTCATAGTTTTCTTGAAAACCATTTCTGAGATTCCATCCTTCAGTGCTGCGTATATAAGAAGAATCGTCCAATACAGTATTAGAGCTCTGAGAAGCGGTTTGGTGGATTAAATTGGCGAAACCGCTAGGAGGGTTCACCACTGATGAGCCAAGCCCTCCCAATATATTTTTTTTCATCGCAGTAAGGGCAGTAGAAGTTTGTATTATGTATAAAAGAAACATTCGTGCTTTTAAATCCTTTCATTTTATATGTATAGAAGGTTTTGCAGGTTAGTCAGTAGAGGAGTAGTGTGCTTGAATGGTCGTGATTGATCCGCCAGAACTCTCTTATTTAACAGGTAAGCTATTTGCTGACTTCCAAGCTAGAGTCCACGGGGAGATGTGAATCCATAAAAGAAAGGTAACATGAGTGATCGCGGTGCGGCACGACAGCTGTGTGACAAAGTTCGATTGACAACCCTGACCTTGGTCTGTCGTTTCACCTGCCTGCCCTAGGTCATTGATCGTCTGTCGGAAGCCACCTGGGCATCCGACGTCGGGACATCACGATAGGATCTCATTAACATGGTGTGGACATCTGTGCCATTCTATATATATATTGGTACCTGAGGATATAGTGAGGTGTGGACAAGGAATGGCAGGGTAAAGTGGGACAGCCAAGGTACAGACAACAGCCGAGGTACAGACAACAGGAGGGACAGCCGAAGTACAGACAACAGCCGAGGTACAGACAACAGGTGGGACAGCCGAAGTACAGACAACAGCCGAGGTACAGACAACAGGTGGGACAGCCGAAGTATAGACAACAGCCGAGGTACAGACAACAGGTGGGAAAGTCGAGGTACAGACAACAGCCGAGGTACAGACAATAGGTGGGACAGCCGAAGTACAGACAACAGGTGGGACAGCCGAAGTACAGACAACAGCCGAGGTACAGACAACAGCCGAGGTACAGACAACAGGTGGGACAGCCGAGGTACAGACAACAGCCGAGGTACAGACAACAGCCGAGGTACAGACAACAGGTGGGACAGCCGAGGTACAGACAGCAGGTGGGACAGCCGAGGTACAGACAACAGGTGGGACAGCCGAGGTACAGACAGCAGGTGGGACAGCCGAGGTACAGACAACAGGTGGGACAGCCGAGGTACAGACAACAGGTGGGACAGTCGAGGTACAGACAACAGGTGAGACAGTCGAGGTACAGACAACAGGTGGGACAGCCGAGGTACAGACAACAGGTGGGACAGCCGAGGTACAGACAACAGGTGGGACAGTCGAGGCCACCAAAAGATATTTCCGGAAGCTCCCGGCCAAAATAAACTTTGCTTCCTTGCAGCTCCACCGACAATTTTAGAGCTCTGACCTCCCCGGGGAATCCTGCCACACATGCCACCAATTAGCCAGGCCTTGCTCAACGTTGACTTCTCCTCAGACCTTCAACTTTCATACCCGAGACTGCTGCAGAGAATTCACAATTCGAAAAACAGTTTTTTTTTCAATCTTTGTAACCTTCTTTGCTTCCAGTGATATTTTGAGTTTACCAAATATTTGAAATATCATGGAAATATCCTCACTTGAATTGGTCACCATTAAATATATTTTTGGAGTTTCAACATTTACCTCCATTGATTTGAGCCCAAATGTGTGTAAAACATAACGAAAAGATGGCACAAAGTAAATGGAAATTCACAAAGAGGTAAAAATTGCAGATAATGTTTACATATAGAATCTTACGTTCTCAGCAAAACGGTTATTGGAAATAATTAAAGGGAATAATACAGAAGTTTCTACTATGCGCCTACACTACACGTCACAAACAGGAAGAATCTACGGTGTTCCCAAGTGGTCACCCTCCCAAGTACTGACCGGGCTCGACATTGCTTAACCTCGGTAATCGGACGAGAATCTGTGTTTCCAATATGATAAGGCCGAAGCAACGGGAATAATGTGACAGATTGAAATCAGAATTAAAATACATTTAATTGTGGGCAACAATTTTTGGTATTTATTCCCCAAGAAGCCATCAGTAACGTTCAGGTAATGCCATTTTATTTAGAATACCATTCCATATATAATGACCTAGAGTAAATCAGCCTTTGCCGGTCCCAAGCCCGGATGAAAAAGGAAGAGGGGGAGCAGTAACAAGCTCACTAAAAAACCTGGGCTCAGCTGGCCCGGCTGATAGTGCCCTGTATGGGCTCCTAATCCAGAGATACAAGATGAGCAGCGTTTGTACTCCATGTTAGGAGTGGCTGCACATGGCGTCTGTTCCTCATGTCAGAGGCGGCCATTTCTTTTGGAGCTTAGTCGGCCTGCCACTGAGTAGTGCTCCCAGTCTTAATGACAAAGGTAGACGCATTCTAGTTCGCCCAGTCATGATCTCAAGCTTTACAAGCTTGATACCCTAATATGATTGAGTGGAAATAAGAAAGAAGAATGACCTAGAGTTTGTGTGGGTTTAGCGAAGCCCAAATTCTCAAAACGATCCTACGTGTGATCTATCTACAATGTAAACAAGCCTCACAATGATTCTTTTTAAAAGAAACTTGGAAGCTTCATGTTTTCAACTTTACGCTATCAAGATTGAAAATATAAAATACGATAGTTTGTCCAAGAAACTGATTACATTTATTTTGAAAATAGAGCAATCCATAAATAAATCTTTAATTAAAAAGGTATATACAATATAATACACTGCGGCCTGTGATTGTAAAACGACACTTGAAGTTACACCGCATGAGTTTCTTTTAACGAAAATTAAAATTTTATTTCAAGGTGAAATATCGACTATTTCTAACCTTGTTGGATGAGGTATGAAAGGATTAATTATGAAGAGTAATGACGAACGGAAAAATAAAAGTGTCCAGGGATGGGAATCGAACCCACAATGTACCTCTTACCGGGCAGATGCCATGTCCACTAGGCTACCCTGGACGTATTTTTCCGTTCGTCATTACTCTTCATAATTCATCCTTTCATACCTCATCCAAAAAGGTTAGAAATAGTCGATATTTCACCTTGAAATAAAATTTTAATTTTCGTTAAAAAGAAACTCATGCGGTGTAGCTTCAAGTGTCGTTTTTTAAAAAGGTATATATTGGTAAAATAAATGATATTTAAAGTGTCACTTTAAAATGTTATAATACCTTGATAAAGGTTGGCGTTCAGCCAACTGAAATATTAGTAAAATAAATGATATTTTGATCTAATATATGCCTTTTTAATAAAAAAAAAAAAATTACATTTATGATAGCCTCATTACTCGTACTCATTGGTGAGGTAGGACTTATACAAGAATTAGAGGGGAGGGCATTGAATTGATGTTTTTTAAAAGCTTTTATTTAACTTGCTTCCCTGTCCGTCTGTCTGTCCACAAATATTTCAGTATTTTTATATTAAACCATAGTTTATTCTCGTCTGTCAGACAGTCCAATATAGAGTCAGTCTTCATTAAACTCTGTCTTTGACGTAAAGTTCTCTGTATGAGGTTGGTTTTGATGGTTTGTATCCAGCCTGTTCTTCCTGGTTTCCTGATTTACTCCATTCCATGTCCATGAATATGGTTATATATATGGGTATATGGTATTTAGGTTATAGGTATTCTCTTGGCCTTTTTTTATAAATAGATTCACTTAAGTTTTAATGGAGAAGGCAGAAAAACTCTGAACCCAATAGCAAAATATATTTTTAAAAAGTAAAATATACAAATGTAGAGTCTATGGACACTATTTTTGGAGAGAGAGAGAGAGAGAGGGAGACAATTTTTTTGACAATTAACATATTTACATCTTGTCAATACATGTAAAGTGCACAGTCCGCACTAATTATGAGAAAATGAGAAATTTGAGAAATGAGAGAGAGGGAGAGAAAGAGATAGGAAATTCACAGAAGCTCTCTTCTTATAATTGTCTTTTAGGAAATAAAAGGAACATCTATAGGAGTAAGTCTCTTTCTTCCTCGGCAATTCCATGAACTTCCCGTGTGAGATAACTGGGGAGATAAGGGAGGGACGTACACTGACCTGGAGTGATGCCAGTGCTCTATTCCAGATGACACACTTACAGTCTTCTGGATGGAAATACATTCAGTCAACTCCTCTTGTTGTTATTGAGGATGGATGGAATCTCTATCAACGCTATATAGTTCTTCTAGCGTTTTCTATAAGATCACAATTATAAATTTCACTTCACTCCCGTTAAAATAGACTCTAAGCGCCACCTATAGACCTTCTCCGCAAACTAGCTGACTTGGTTCGATGCCAAAGCCACAACAACAGCTTTGGCGAATTCCTATCTCCCATCTGGAGACCGTTGTTTCGGGCTAATGGCCATCTTCAGTACAGGGCTATCATTGATTTCATCTCAGATCTACAAGTGATCAAATAAAATATTCAGAAATTGTCATAGAGGTGTTTAGCTGGCAAAATATCTAGGTCAATTCTATGGCCAAAATATTAGTGGATAATTTTCCGGGAGGGGATATTGATATATAAAAAATAAAACTCGTCTCTTCCGTCAAAATAGACGCTAAAACTAAGCGCCATCTATTGACCGTCTTTGCAAACTATCGGATTCAGGTCGGTCAACACAGATGGCGTTTAGTTTGTACCACAGACAGGTACCATGTGGTGAGACGACCGCGGAGACCATCAGTGAGATGGGAAGATCCCAAGACTTGTGTTGAGACGACCGGGGAGATCATCAGTGAGATGGGAAGATCCCAAGACTTGTGTTGAGACGACCGGGGAGACCATCAGTGAGATGGGAAGATCCCAAGACTTGTAGTGAGACGACCGGGGAGACCATCAGTGAGATGGGAAGATCCCAAGACTTGTAGTGAGACGACCGGGGAGACCATCAGTGAGATGAGAAGATCCCAAGACTCGTGGTGAGATGACCGGGGAGCCATCAGTGAGATGGGAAGATTCCTAGACTTGTGGTGGTCGCTGGAGAAAGATGGCGAGATGACGACATTGCGACCTCCAGAAGTGGAGAACCCACTCTGAAATGACTGGTCCACCGAGGTAATCAAGGTTACATAAATAAATCGATAGGAAGGTTTACCATTTATGAGACAAGCCTTCCTAATTTTTTTTTTCTCTATTCACAGTTCACTAATTGTAGAAATTTGTCTAATAGGAGAAAGATAATTTGACAATTAAAATGATTTATTGACATCTTGTCAATAGATTGTCAAGATGTACAATCCTCAGTCATCAAGGAATGATAAGGAGTCATTTACAATGATGATGGTGCTGATAGAGATGATGGGAGAGATTAAAAGAAATAGAGCGCAGAATAATTCCATCCGCAACATACAGATGACGATAGGTGCAGTCATCTACACACTACAGCACTTAATATTCTGTCATCTTTAGGGACCATTGCAAATTTTATTTAGACGGTAAAATATTCAAATAGCGACCATTTTATGAAATCAAACTAATTTGAACTGATCAAATATAACATTCAATGAACGACTATGGCAGACTAAGCATTTTTTTATATTTTTTTTTGTGAAGGGGGGGGTAACTATGGTCATTTATGGGAGATTTTCTAATGGAAATATTTTAATATGGAAGAATTTTTCATTATATAAAGGGGGTTCTTACAAAGCTTTTTTTTGGTTATATATATTTAAAAAAAAAAGAAAATAAAAGACCTAATCCAAATAATTTATTAGTGTGTGACGTTTCGGCAACAACATTGTCACCATCATCAGACAAAAGAATAATTGAGAAAAAATATTACAGGAATAATAGAAGAAAATAAGTAAAAATAAATCCATTATTTGGATTAGGTCTTATTTTCTTTTATTATAATCTATAATCCAAATTGTGCTTTATCATTTGTTATATATCGTCATATAAAAGGTTTTGTTATAAGGTTTTTGGTTGATATGTAAAGATTTTTATATTATAGAGGGGTTTTGTTTGTTATATAAAGGGTCTTTCGTTATGAAGGTTTTTCATTTTATATAGAGTTTAATTTTATAGGAATTTAATTATATAGGGGATTTCGTTAAAGGGGACTTTTGGTAATGTAGGTTTTAGTTGTTCGAATAAATTTGGAATAATCCTGTGAGAAAATATCGATACAGATGTCAGTTTTTGGATCCTCAATAGAATGTCTAGCCTAGCTGTTTTCCTCTTTCTGTCGCCACGATTAAAAAAAATTCCTTTGGATATTCAACAAAATGTAGAATTGTGTGCGTGTGTGTGTGTAGATGATTAGAATACAGGACGTATAGATAATATAAGATGTAGATAAACAGTAGAAGCGCTCGTGAGCGATCTTCTCCATGATAAAAACATGGATGATCTTGTTTTCTTCTGGAGAAGGTCGCTCAAAGGAGTTAGAGGGGGATTAGATTAGGTCTATTCATTTATTATTGTTATTATTTAAAATGGTATCTCATATGAGGTTTTACTGTGAAGGAGGCTAGATATTTCATCTCTCTCTCTCCACCATCGATTTCATATATTTAAACAAACGATAGTTAAATTTCTCCGCAGACGAGAGACACTGCGGGAATTCTAAGCAGACGTCTGAGGATGACGCAACCATGTCACAGATTAGAACGGCACGTGTGAATTGGCAACACTTTGATAGAAGCTGGTGACGTCACGTCCCCCCGAGCTCGTCTTACGTCCCGGAAAAAGAAGGGAATCGACAAAAAAAAAAAAAAGCAGGCGGTGTCGTAACTCGAGTTAGGCGTAACACTTGGCGCGCGGGGGCCTTTCGAGGAATATTGCGAATGATGATAAGGACTTTGATGATGATAAACTCTTTGTCCCCAACATAGAATTTCCCTTCTTTAGTCGTTGACTCCTCCAATTTTAAGGTGATTCATCACTTTTTTTCTTATGATATCACATACTTCTTTTATTACACCAGGCTGCACTTTCGACATGATACGCTGACCCTTTTCTT